TACAGTTTCTCTTTCATCGTCTTCTTCTTCTTCTTCACCTCCTCTTAGCACCCAGCACCTCTCCCCCACCAAGCATTCAAAATCCCCTGCCAAACAGCCAGCTGTACCACCACCACCGGCCACAGTGCCAGAGCCTCCTCCCCGTAGGGAGCTGAAAGGTATTCTTAAAAACATTCAGAATTTAGCAGCCATCGAAAAGTCTGTGGCCAACATGTACAGCCAAATAGACAAAAACCACCTTCTGCCCAAGCCCATTCCTAAGCTCAAACCGGCTGCAACACCAGAGCTGCCAACTCCAGAAGCTGTGGCTGAGCACAACCAGCAGAACGGCAACTTGAGCTGTGTTGTGGAGGAGCTTGAGAAACGCTTCCCATCTCAGTCCACGGCTCTCTGATTGTACCGTCTGCGGTTGGATGTTTTCTGCATGTGACATGTTGAGTGAGATGACTCTAATGCAGCACATGGTATCTGCCTCAGACCCTCTAGAAATTCAGACTTTTCCCCTTTCTCTGCTGTATATCACCACTTGTCCAGTCCTAATCCCAAACTGAGAGACATCGTCTGTCCTGTTCTCTCGGAAATTTGTAATATATTTGTAATTCTACAAGCTGTTTTCTCAGAGCTACATCTTACTGTTGTATGATGCTGGATCTTAGGCTGTTTACCAAAAATTCTTGGGGGAAACAATCCATTTTTACCCAAGCATGGGTCATAGATGGCAGAAGGCTCGGTACCGCTTTATGTGAAGCAGCCTTCGCTGTAGGTAATACCGGTGAGCAGCGCGATTTTGTGCAGCTGTAAGCGAAATCTCTTGCTTTGCCCACAAAACCTACCACCTGGGAGGAGTCCTGCTGTCCCATACTGGATGCCAAAGCTGGTGAGAACTGGTAGGAAGCAGGCTCAGGGGTAGCGAGCCGGAGTTACCACAGCGAGGCCCCTTCGTGTTCGGCCGAGATGCCACCGCCACGCTCTGCTGCGCCGGCGTCGCTTTCTTACCGCTCACCGCTGGCATCACGACTCCCAGGAAAGGTTTTCTCTTGATTTGCCAGCAAACCCCGCTGTCTGCCCTCCTGTCACCCTTGTTCTGCCTTCCGTTGCGTTGGTTTTCTTTTCTTTTTTTATATTGTAACTGCACGTTAAAAGTTTTTATTTTGTAAATTTATTTCATGTACAAAACGTTTGTTTGGTTTTTATTTTGCATATGCATTTTGTTGGCATCTCTCTAACTTTCATGCTAGTTTGCCATGAGCTTTTACACTTGAAACATCTCGTTTATCTTAAAACTGTAATAAAGTCACTCTGATTAGTGTCACCAAGTGAGGATTTTTCAAATACTTGTAAAAGTCCATGTAATACAGATTTACTTACTGGCTTTTTTGCTCCCAGTCAGCTAAATCAGACCTTTACATGAAATGTCAATTAGAGTAAATTAGCTTGTCCTTTGAAAAAACTGGTAAGTAAAAGCAGTTTTAGCGTTTAAACAAATTTTACTTTGGTTCAGCTGCAAGTTTCCTTTTAGTCTTTGGCCAAAATTCAAAATAATTTGGTTCAATATGACAATTTTTAAAAATATATTGGGAAAGGGAGATATTATATAATGAAGAAAAACAAACCCCTTGGTTCAGTTTCAGATGTTGTACTTCTGAGAAAAAAGGTGATTTATAACTTAGACTGTCTGGAGATACTCAGCATTTCTATGGTGCTCGGCTTTTTCTCTTTTCTCTCTCTTTTCTTTTTTTTTTAAGTCCACATTTAGGACATGTATAGATGCTTCAGTCAGAAGTGGATGAAGGTAGTTTCTCTTTATTTGACCCATAGCCAAACTCCAGAGTTAGAATTAGAATTTTTCTTTGCTTAAGACTCTTCTCAGACTAGACTGTAGTTCCAAAACATGTAGAGAGTAGCTAAATATATGTGATTATTAGAAAATAGTTATCAATCGTGGCATTTTTACTTCAATAAAATCTGTGTAATTTAGGAGATGCACACGTGTAGAATACCTACCAATAATGCCAGATTCTTCAAGAGTGGCACAACTGCAGCATTAGCAGCAGGTTGTCTAAGTTCAGCAGCTATTAGGTAGAAGAACTTCTAAGGTTTAAGAGCCAGACTCAGAAGATGGCCTCCACGTGTACTTGCTTCTGTGTGTCTGCTGTGGTCCTGGCGTGGAGACAGTGGAAAGTATGCAAAGATGAGCGTGAGAGACGATTGTGCTGAGGATGTTCAGAGCCCTAAGACAAAGATTTTAATTCAAGTACACAAATCCCACGTTAGAGCTTGTAGACCCATAACAGATGCTTTTGTGAAGTTCATTGCATCACTAGTGAAATATTAGACAAATATGACCTGATTTGGCTGTGTCTAGTGTCATGCAGCAAATTTGCAGGTGTTTAGTAAGTCACAGCATAAGCTCCAAAGGTTTTATTGGGCTACAGTTATTTGCGGCACTCTGTAAGCAGAAAGAATGGACATCACAGAGGAGCTCCCTTCTACACATGTAGTTTCATCAGTCTCAGAAGTGTCTTTGGGGGTCTTGGTAATCAGCTCTTTGCTAATAAGGAACAGCTACTTTCTCAGTCTGGAAATCTTTATTTGGGTGGAAAGTTTACAAAACCTAGTTCATTTTGTCTGGAACTAATGCAACCTTTTGTTCCCCTGCTGTTTTTTTGAATAGCCTTTGTTAAAACAGAACATTCTATTAGACCGGGAAAGAAACTATACGAGTAGGATGTGTTTTTAACCTAACCCAGGGTTAGATTAAGTTCTGTCCCATTAAAATCTGGATGCTCCTGCAGTTCTGCAGCACTACGAATTATTATAACCGATACTGGTTGGCAAGAAGTTCAGAATTTAGAATTTCACTGACCCCTCTTCAGGTTGTCTGATTTTGTCAGTGGGGGTCAGATGTGACACTGGGTCTCTCTCTCATCCTTTCATCAGCAGCTGGGTTGGGTTGCTCTGAGCAGGAGCAGGGATGGTATCAGTGGAGCACGCTTCTTTGCAAACCCCTTTGCAAAGCTGAAATCAGACAGTAGCATATCATCGCTCCTCTCCCTTCCAGACTATTTCTCCTCAGTTCCAGCTATGAACTGCAGGAAACCTCCAGTTTAGGAGTCAGGGCAAATTGCTTAAGCCGTTGCCTCCTCTGAGTAGTGTCTGCAGTATTTGGAGTTTATGATGCTTTTGGTTTTAGTGTGAAAATAGATCGAAAGTGTGAAATAACAAATGCCTGCTGGGCTGCCAGTAATTGGGAAAATTGTTGCTTTAGGCAAATCGGCATCCCTTTAACCTCTGTTAGCACTACAGACCTGTGAAAGGCTGGCACATTTTGTACCTTAAATTCATCCTCGTTTTCTCTCTCACATTAAGCACCAGCAGCGTGTACGAGCTGTTGCATTTTCCTGCACCATCACAGGCACTATCTCCTCGCTGCCCATTGTGCACTGAAGATTTCTCTCTGACTGCCTGCAGTGAAGTCTGGCTGATAATGTTTATCCAGAAGCAATTCCTCCCTCGGTGGAGAGCTTTGATTCCTTCCTGGAAACGAACGATGATGTTTTGACCTCTGCCTTTCTGTCAGAATAGATCCTTGTGCTGTATTGAGTGAATGGTATTTTTTGTCTTTTGGGGACTTTTTTGTCTTCTGATCGTGGCCGCACAGTACTATAAGAGAAGTAAAAACATCTCTCAAAACACAACGTGGTGCTATTTTTAGGAAAGTTGAATTCCAAATTTAATTAGAATTATTTGTATTGTGCTTTTAATCTGCAATATCATGATTACTCAAGAGCAATTAAGAGTAATGGGCTTACTTATCCTCTGTGCAACACAAGACCATATTTATCTGGAGATGGTTGTAGGCGATGTGGAAACTAAATACAGGGTTCCTCAAGTGGGCTTTGAAACACCACAGATCATCTTCTGATGATAAATCTTCATTTCAGTTGTTCATTAGTTTCACATTACATGGGCAACAGCATTAATTTAATGCTGATAATCAATTCCATGTGCTGAATATTAATAGAAAACTTTCTAAAGGATGATATTAAAGAATTGAAAGGACTTCTACTCTGTTCTTTATTATTTACTCAAGTGTAATTAAAGATTTTGCCTGGATTGTTGTGTATTAGGTTAAGCTCAAAATAATTTTGAGCATTTACCCTTTCCTTATTATAAAAAAAATGTTTAATCCATGTTTATCCTTAATAATAATGCTAAGACCTAAACTGCTGTTCCCTAGTTTTGTCCAAGCCATTTTAATTTTCTAGTACAAAATGTGAAAATAGAAAATTGGGTAGGTATAAGTGCATTTGTCATGTGCATGAATGGCTTCAAGACAATGAATTAAAACAACAACCAAAAAAATTCAATAGATGAAAAGGAGAAAGCCTGTGGCAAAACAATCACAGATAGAGAAAATAAAATTTAACTCCCTCCTGCTGAGTAAATATTAGGAAATGTGTAATTTTAATAATAATGTTGTTACGAGAAATTAGTAAAAGAAGCTCCAGGCCAATCTCTAGCAAGTCCCGAGTGGATAACAGGAAGTCCAGAAGGAGAAGAGAAATTATTTCACTGCTTAAGCAGATGTGTGTAGCAGCAGAGTCTCTCTGTGAGTCACGGGAGGAGGTGGTGGGGCAGGACCTCTCTTACGAGAACGCCAAAAAAGCCACTTGCGGCATTCAGCCCTCTTCCCTTTGCTGCGTTCCACTGGGTGCACTGGCTCTCTGGCTTCTGGGGATTGGAGATTTCTTCTCATTCATTTGCAATCTAAAGCAAGAAAAGATCCCAAAAATTCACTTGCCTTTCTCATGCAGTGATTCCTACACCCAGAGCAAATCTAAAGACAAACATGTTTTGATACGTGTTGCTTTTCTTGCTAGTAATATTTCTAATTGCATTATCTCTTCACCTCTCTCCAGAAGGAATGGCAACGTGCATCTTTACACAGTCTCACAGAAGTATACTAATTATTTTTTTTTTCTTTTTCTGACTTCTAGGCGAGGATATGCACAGCAAGAGGTAAGGCCATTCCCCAGTTGCCTTTCAGATATTAATTACATCAACGTCCTTTTCACATGCAGCCTATGTGGTGAAGCTCATTGCTATGGGGTGGCTTAGAGACCAGAAATACAAATTGGTTCAGAAAGTTCAGGAAGCATAGATTCCCTTGGGGCATGAACATAACCCTCAGGCTAGGAGACTGCTGCTTGATGAACTGCCAGAAGCAGTTTCCCAGGGAATTCCCCCGACCCTTGCTGTGTATTCTTACCTCATGATCTCCTGCTGCCCGCTGTCAGGGGCCACATACTGGGCTACATGGATCTCTGCAACTCCGTGTCCTCTGCTGTGCTTGCAGCATCCTTTTCCTCCAGCAATGAATTGTAATTCACTCTTCACTGAGAGTTTCCTTCAGAAATTTCAGTTAACTCATTTAATAATTGGGAATTTCTCCAAAATACATTTCTGTCATAAAGGCCAATATCTACTGCTGAGGGCTGTGTTGGTTTTACTAATCTTAAAGTATCTGTCTGGAGCCTACTGCTCCTTGTTCAGCAGTGTTTTTACAAACTGCAAGCTTTCTGTGGTTCTGCTGTGATTTTTCCTCCATTTGCAGAGCTGGTTTGTGTCTCAATTCAGATACAGAACTTCCCAAGCTTTACAAGGTTTGGTTTTGGCCAAGAAGTTTGGCTGAAATAGTGCCCCCAAGTTTTGGGAGGGATGTGGGAAGAACAATAGTGATTTTCTCAACTAAATCTGATCCTAATTTACAAAACAGCAAGTGATGGGCATTGGAAAAACTGGAGCCACAGAGTAGTTAACAACCTGGTTACCAAAACCAACCCATGTTTAGCTGTGACATACCTGAGAGGGTATCTCAGGATCTCTTCCCTCCCATCAGTGTGCTTTGCTCACTGTGCCACGGCCAGAAAGAAATCACACAGAACTGGAGAGAAGATAAGCAAGGTGGTCCTTCGCTGTCTTATTGCTGCTGTGAATTAAAGTGTATTTTTGGTCACAAGGTGGTTGAGAGCCACAGAAGGGTATAAATACAGATAGAGATTAAAGCGATGGTGTTGCAGTAGAAGCTTGGGTAAGAAATCAAATCACTTTGAAGTTTTTAATAGCTGAAGGGCAGACTTTACTGCAGGTTCTGTAGATTTGCTTTCTGCCTGTTGTAGATCACTTTTTGTCTGACGTTGTCTCCTCGCTGTCTCTGGCATAGAACACACTGGGCTCGGACAGAAGTTCTGGAGTGAAATAATTTAGAGAATCAGCACATAAACTGGGAGTTTGATTTTTATACTAGGCAAAAGGAATAGTGGAGTGTAAAGTGATTTTACAGTGTTAGGTGCTGAGCAGTGTTCTGCATCTAATGGAGCAGGGAGGCACCCAGCTGACTGCTGTACAAAAGACTCTCAGGAACTCTGCTTTTAGGATTTCTTGCCAATCCTAACTCAGACGCAAATGACCTGCACTTTAATTGTTGCTGCTTAATTAACCCCTTTCTAATTTTCTTTTGTAGCAACAGCAGTTGCTGAGACCTTCTCTTCTCAGACCAGAGGTATTTTCATTTTGTATTTATTCTATAACTTTTAAAATAGCTTTTTCATAATTTCCTAATGAAAACTTGTCTGTCTGAGGTAATGTTTTTCCCCCTGACTCTTTTAGATGAAAAGGAAAGTCCTGACGTTGTTATCCCATTTATGATGTTTTAATTAAATACCTTAAACTTACTGCATCTTGGTATTTTCCCCTTGAGAGCATCTTTCAGTTGCTCCCATGCCCTTCATCATGGGGAATGAAAGCTTTCCTAGTTTCATGCCCAGACTAACATACAGAATAACTTCCTCGCTGCCCAACCACAATCTGTTCTTGCAGATGCCAGTCAAGTGATAATTGAGTATTGTACCTAGAGATGAACAAAGCAGTTGACCTGACAAGGTGATGGAAGCATTACCACACTGCTGTGAGGTGCAAAGGCTGCTGTGGATTATATACCCAGTACTTTGTGTTTCAAACCTTTTAGACCAAATAGTGTTTCTAGAATAAGCGATAGAGCAAAGGAGGCTTTTGTGCGACATAGCTGTCTATGATATGTTTGTAGAACAGCATGGAGGTCATTTCTCCAGTTCTTATAACTAAATACGAGATGCTCTGACACAACGTTAAAATCACTGGAGAGCAGAAGAACCCCTAGGAAGAAATGTCAGGAAGACCTCCTCACTCTTGACAACTCCCTGAAAGGAGATTCGACCCAGGTGGGGCTTGGTCTCTTCTCCCTAGGAACAAGCAACAGAACAAGAGGAAACGGCCTCAAGTTGCACCAGAGGAGGTTTAGGTTGGACATGAAGAAAAATGTCTTCCTCAAAAGGGTTGCCAAGGCCTGGCCCAGGCTGCCCAGGGCAGTGGTAGGGTCCCCATCCCCGAAGGGGAAGTGTTACTTGAGTGAGGTTTTAGTAGAGGATAACAGAGGTAGTGTCCCACACCAGAGCAGCATCAGCATTTAGCTCGCTGAGAACAGCCACTCCCAGGGAGTTCATCTGGGAGGCTCCTGTTGGCTTCTCATTATGGTTCTTTCCAGTTGTCAGTGTGCCCCTGATTACTATCATTTTTTATTTTGCTTATTTGCACTGTAAAATACCATTCTTTGTGCCTTTTTCATTGGTCATGACTATGTATACTGCATTCAATCAGTGTTTCTCTTTTGACAGGAGTTAAGTATGGAGTCCGGAATTGATCCAGGGCAGGAATATTATGGTCAAGATTACTACAGTTATGAGCATGGGTATGTTTTCTTTTTTCCTATAAGTTTATGAAAGTGTTGCTTGTCCTGGTTGGTGATGTTTATTATTACAGCATCTAATCTGGAAATGTTCCTTCACCTCAGGATTACTTTAATCTTTGTTTCCATGAAGGTGTGTGCTGACAACAAAATCTGTTTAAAAGTGAAGGGCTTTTTAACTGCCTGCTTCTTTAGGAATCTAATTCTTGCACTTGCAGAGTGTATATCCCATCTATCATGCCACTTTTATATTCACATTTTTATTTGCACATTTCTGCTATCTTGGAAATTAATTTACATTATCTTCTCCCTGTTTGTGGCTCACCAGCCTGAGTTCAGTGACTGATACTTTCTGCTTACAGTTCCCAACCAGCATCTGGCCTTTTACAGTTAGGCAGAAAAACACCCCCCTGCCTCGTTCTGATAATGCCCATTGACTGCAGGCACTTCAGGGGTCGTTGCTGTTCTTACAGGCTTGCAGGGATCCTCCAGAGCTGATCCCAGGGAACCTCCTCTTTCATTCTCTCCATAGGAGGGGGACCTCATAAAGTTCAACAAGGGCAAGTGTAGGGTCCTGCCCCAGTACAGGAGGGGCTGACCTCCTGGAAAGCTGCTCTGTGGAGAAGGACCTGAGAGTGCTGGTGGACACTAAGCTAACTATGAGCCAGTGGTGCCCAACAACAGGACAAGGGGCAATGGGCACAAACTGTAACCCAGGAGGTTCCACCTGAACAGGAGGAAGAAATTCTTTCCTGTGAGGGTGCCTGAGCCTGGAGCAGGCTGCCCAAAGAGGTTGTGGAGTCTCCTTCTCTGGAGAAATTCCAAACCTGCCTGGATGTGATCTTGGGCACCCTGCTGTGGGTGACCCTGCTGGAGCAGCGGCGTTGGACGAGATGATCTCCAGAGGTCACTTTCAAACTCTACCATGCTGGGATTCTATAATTTCCTGATTTTAAGAAAGTTCCCCAGAAAAATCAGGTACCTGCAATGAAGGTTATTGCACTTAAGGGATTCTTGGCTGATCCCAGAGATAGGAAGAGATTTTAGATTGTGTTACGGCTAAGGAAAAAAAAAAAATCAAAAGCAGAGAGAAAAGAGAGGAAACTCTTGTCCTTTTGAGATGGAAGCGTGTGTGGCTGTGTGTGGAGAGACATGTGAACATGTGGCTGCACGTTCTGAAGAGAGAATGTTTCTCTGCCAGGTATGAACTGCCGGGAGCCGCCGGCGGCTGCTGTCTCCCTCGGGGCTGTACGATGAGTATGGGGAAGTCGTGGTGGAGAACGATGGTGGCTACTACTATAGCCCGCATGGGTCGACAGCAGATGAGGTAAGTAAGCCTCTGGTGTCTTGGTTCTGTCTCTGCAACAAGATGAGGGAGCATTAAATCTTGTCAGATATCTTTTGTAATTAATTAGAAAGTTGGGTTCTGCATAGACCAAACAAGTGACTCTTCCAGAGGTAATCGTTGTTTGCCCCTCTGATGACCAGTGAAGCCTGTGTCTACAGCATTTTCTAGAATCAGAAAGTAATTGCAAAGTTTCTTTTAATATCCACATCTATTTTTTTCCCTCAATGTGGATTTCTAGTTCAAAGAAACATAGCCTTAGGTAATTCCATATTATAGTGTTGACAAAATGGGGAATTACTAATATTCAGCTTATAACTGGCGATTTTCTACAATCATCTAAACTCATTTATCATAAAGTTCACAACTGAATGTAAAGAAATTTTAAAATGTTAGTGGCAGCCAAATGAAATTTGACTTAAATGTTCATTTTTTTAAAATATTTTTTAAAAAAATTTATTAAAAACTTTTCAGAAATACTAAACTCTTAATCCATCACACGTGTTTTAATTAGATGAGAAGAGTTAACATTTCTAAGCCAGAGATTTTCCCTGGTGCAGAGTGAGGTAGTTGGGCACAGAAGTAAAACTTTCCCTGTAACTATGGTAAAGAGCTATTCTAAAACAGTTAAGTTAGGTTTGATGGTGGGAAAAAAAACTGTTAGGTTTGTGTCCCTGCTGACTTAATTTAGGATACAAGTTCTCACAATAACTCTCTTTCAAATCATAATCAAGTTCCATTTTCATAATTTGCAGGGGATGAGTCAAGGCAGAGGTCTTCCAAGCAGAGGTATAAGCCAGAGAGCAGGGGCTCAAATAGAAGTTAGACCTTTAGGTGGTGGGATGGATCTAAGGCATGGTCCTGGAGCTGCATATAGGACCGGTCAGGGAAAAAGGAAACTAAAAGCAGTGATGCATTTAAGCCGTGTAGCAGTCAGTGCTCGCAGACCAGTAGGAAGATCTGAGTCTGCTCGTTCTCCGTGGAAGAAAGCAAAGATATTCCCCATGATTCTGCAGAAAGTGAAAGGCAGTAGGAAAGACTCCAGCTATGCCAAGTTGATGTCAGCTCGCCAAGTGGATGATGGGAAAAGCATGATTATCAGGGGAAGTTACTTCCAGAAAACAACAGATGACAGACCTTCGATGAGAAAACTAAATCATGTGTTAAAACGCATTAGTGTCTCCAGAAAATTTCAAGAGCCTATTAGCAAAGATACAGTGCCTGCAAAAGGAGAAGGAGAGGAGGAATATGAAAAAGATGAAACAAAATCAGGAGTTTCAATAAATATCACAGCAGAGAGTGAACACGAGGACAGTGATTATGAGAAGAAGAAGAAGAAGAGAAGAAAATACGTTTCAGATGAGTCATCCGTGAAGAGCAGTAGCTCTGGCTCAGAGTCAGAAGACAAAGACTACTTGAAAGTAACTCTGGACCAAGATGAAGCCACTGAAAGTACTGTGGACTCAGATGAAGACACTGGGCATGATTTGGAGGATTCTGAAGATGACTCTGGATCCAGCTCTAGCAGCGAATCAGAGGAGGACTCCTCTGAAGAAGACGATGATGAGGAAGACTCTGACAGCGATGAAGATGATAGCCTGTCAAAGAGCTCGTCTACACAAAGTTCATACAGCAAATCAGGGACTAGTGAGTCCAGCAGCAGAACAAGCACTGAAAGGTCCAGTATAAACAGCAAGGGAGGTAGCTCTCGTGGCAGGGCGAGGCGGTCCAGCCAGAAATCAAATACTAGCTCTAATGCATCAGGTAGTGACAGGGACACAAACTACAGGAAAACTTCAGGATCCAGCTATAAGAGCAAAACCTCCTCTGCCAGCCTTGAAATAGAAGACACGATAGAAGAGGTGTCAGAAGAAGATGAAGAAGCAGATGTGGAGCAAGCCAGCGCAAGCCCCAGTGACACGGCGGGTAACTCAAATAAGGCAGCTTCTGAAACATCTGCCAATACAAAAACTGCTGCTACTGAGGAAGACAAGGGAGAAAAGTCAGATGTTAATGGTGAGGGTAGCGTGGATGAAAGCACAGAAGAGGTTGATACAGATGCTAGTGACAGAGAGGAAACTATGAGTAAGAATGAATCTTCTTGCCTAGAAAGTGAAATCAGCGTTACTTCCAAAGGGACAAAAAGCACAGTAAGTTCTGGTAAAACCACCACTTCCCCTGATACTGAGAATCAAAGTTCTGGCACCAGCCTGAAGAGAAATAAGATAAGAAAAAAGATGTCCCAGGGAAACAGTCAGTCTCAGTCAGATGAGCCCCTGGATGCCACTGTTACAGAGTCAGAGACTGCTGGTGATTCTACATCCTTTTGAAAAGGAGCGACAGTGGGTGGACGTTTTGCAGTAAGGAGTGGTCTTGTTTGCTGTGCCTTCTGTGTGGTCTTTCTGAAGCAATAAGCACTTGACTAGAGACAGCCAAAAAGAGAATGTCAGAGCTTATTGCTTCAACATTTGAACCCTTGTCCTGGTTTGAGCTAGGACAGAACAAATTCTATTCAGTGATTTCACTTCTCAGCTCAGTCTCTTCTAACTGCACATTCTGTTGTTAATGGAGAGCATCTGTCATTTGCCTCGTGGCTGGTGCAGAAAACCAAATCAATGTAATTCCTTGGGTGTGCTTAGTGGTGAATGTAGAAAGATTAATTTTCATTGAGCAATGTCAGGAAGGAGAATGAGGACTTCTTGTTCTCTGCTGATACTGATAATGTATTTAAAGAAGCATTGTGTTGATTCTTTGAGGTGATCCTCGTTGCGTTGTGCATGTTGCGGAGCACTGTAATGTTGCATTTCGCATTTGATACCTTGACAAACCTGATGACACAAACCTGTTCAGGGTCTTGTGTTCGTGCAGGTTGTGTCGGTCACAAAATGGAACACTGCAGGAAGGAAAAGGGCAAAACATGGAATTCAGTGAAGAATAGGAATGATGATGAGTTTGAAAAGGCTTAGAAGCCATATGTGGCTTCACCTTATGTTCCCCTATCATACAAAATCTGCTAAACTTCATATGAGTTCTCTGCTGGAAATATTAGCCATATTTACAGGGAGGACAACTGAATTTGCAGCAAAGCAACACTGCCCAGACTGCAGAGTATTACTAGCAGAGTTATTCAACTGTTTCTGGATCATGGGATTCAGGTTTCAGGTACCAGTGATGTTATGCAGAGGTAGGTGTAAAAAGTGAGCTGGGTCAGAAAAGCAAATGGAGTATGTTTGCAAGCTTCTGCCCTTCCCATCTAACAGTAGAGTGGTTTATTTTTTTTAAAAAAAAACTGTTTAAAAGTTGGAGAAGCTTAATGTCCAAGTATTGCTGAAGGCAACTATCACCTAGGCTCTATATTTCAGTACCTGCGTTTTAAAATTCAGTAACCTGTAATGTCTGATTCAAAAGAGAAATCTTGTAGCACATTAGCACAACTCTGCTCAGAATGAGTGCAATTATGTAGGAGGGAATTCTGTTACTGACAGAACAGGTGGCCTTTGTGTTTTCCTTGAAGAGATCACCTCTGCATGACGTACCTCCTCATGGAGCTCCTATCTGTGCTTTATTTGCCTTGTCTCAAAAGCCACAGACCTGTTTCTCAACCATTAGATTTATCCAGATAAGCTGTAAGAAGCATAAATAAGTGCAAAGCTTTGAGCCAGTATTGCATTAATCTTGCGAGCAAATACTTTAAAGCTATATATAGCACAAAGTCGTAGCTGCACGCAGTGTTTTAACATCAGTCCCATTTAAACTAGTCAGTCTTTTTATCCAGCTGAATATATCCACATGAAGAAAATCTTATGTATGTCCTTATCAGGAACAAAAGAATAGGCATCTAAGTAATTTATACGAAGTGTAACGTCTCAGAAGCTCAAGAGTAATCACCACTCATCTGTACTTTGCACGATTTTCCTTTCTCTAAAAACTGGCTTTTCTTGTGTGCAGGTGTATGTATTGCAGTGGGAATTACCTGTGGTGCTATCTGCTGACTTAGTCAAACAACAGTGTTTTCATTATTAATTCCAGAGTGATAGGAGCTTGATTCAATGAGCTGCAAGGAGGCATTTATTTTTAAAAAGTCAATTATCTATTAAAATAAGGAACGAGTTTTGTGTAATCACTATTAGAACAAAGTCACAGCAATGTGGAAATTGTTTACATTAACTCTTTAAAAAATATGTAAATTATATGAAGCCTCAAGCCTCATTTTTCCACCATCTTGCTGTTAAAAAGAGCAATGCATCTCCATTGATTCCAGTAGATCAGAACTGGCACAAAACTTTGAATCAAGCTTTTCTCCTCTTAACCAGCCAATTCTGCCAGTGTTGTGTCTGAGAATTTCCCTTGTGTAGGTCTCGAGATCTTTCTCTGCTTGACGTGTTGTGCATCTAAAGCAGACCTGCTCAGTGCTTTTTCTGCACTGAATTCACAATGTCATAATACTCAGGAAGGAAACTTCCAAAGCACTTACCCACTAGTTGAGTAGTTTTTTAGAGGTATCGCTCACACAGTGGCTTCATCCTCAGTGCCTTGCTGTTTCTGTTAAAAGAGGCTATTAACCTAATTGATTTTCATCTTTCTTTGTAAGTCAGATTGAGACATTGCTTTGTCAAAACATGATTTGCTTACCAATATCCTGATTTACAGAAGTTTTCTTTCAGAAAGTGCCATCTCCTTTCTCAGGATGCTCCATGGAAGGTGCACTTTGATTTAATGGGAGCAGAGCTTTAGCAAAAGATGAAAACAAAACCAAATTTGTCACTATTTTCCAAACGGAAGAAAAACGTCACAGTTTGTATACACTGCCTGACTTACATTGTGGAGGTCATGAACTGAAATGAGTTTATCCATCTTACAGCTTTTTAGTGCAAAGAATGGTGTTCAAGCATTAGGTGTATATGATTGGGGCACACAGTGGTAATCAAAGAGTGAAGAAATATCTGTGTACAACCTAAGAGGAAGGGTACAAAAGACCAAGTTAATAAAAATTCATATGAGCTTCTAGATAAAAGGCAAGATCACAAACAGATAGAAAAAGGGCAGGAAAATGTAAGAAATAGCTCCAAGATTTAACGGCATTTCTTTTATTGTTGCACAGTGGGCCAGAAAGAAAAGGATCAAGTTGATCGTGGACCCAGAGTACGAGACCAGCTCGACTGGAGAGGACAGCGCTCCCGATTCCAGCCAGAGGAACCGTCTTAATAACCCCAGTATCCAAAACAACATCAACGGTAACATCTACATTGCACAGAACGGTTCTGTTGTCAGAACACGGCGCGTTTGCCTTGGTAACAATTTAAAAGTCACGTCTCCAGTCAGGCTGGGGAAACAGTTCAAGAAACTGGACAAGCTTGCAGTGACACATGAGGAGAGCGTCCCACTGAACACGTTGTCAAAGGGACCATCTTCTAGTGATAAAATGAACACAGGACCTTGCAGTGTCTCCTTTGCTTCCTCGACTATAGGGGCTGACAATATAGTAACGAAGGCGGGGGGCTCCAGAATGAAAAGCACAGAAGAGCACGAATCGGTTGTCGATCGTGCGGATGTCAAAGAGCCCTTGGAGTCGCACAGTGAACACACACAGTCAGATGAGGAGGAGCTCTGGATGGGCCCTTGGAACAACCTTCACATACCAATGACAAAACTGTGATTATTTTTTTTTTTTTTTTTTTTTTTTAATTTTTACTTCAGTTTATAATAAACTGCGCTTTTTATTGTCACTGAGGAAAATGTATGAAATTTGTATTGTGCACATGTTGTATACTACAAATGACACGCTTTAAAGTCTAAAAACAAAATTTGCACTCACATTTGTACCAATTAATTGTCCTCCCCAATGAACTATTTTGAAAGGCTCCCATTGCACTAAACAATACTTCATTTAAATTAATTAGGTTTTTTGGATCTTGATTTATTGTTTATTAAACAGTAAACTACTAATAAATGCACAGCAGCATTTGGTTAACTTTTCAGACAGTTCTATACATGCCTAGCTTGTTTTTCTGTATGGTACTTGTGGCTATACTGTTTAGATTTGGAAATTGTCTTATTTATGTTCAAGATTTATATCCAGAGCTCTTGATTCTGAACTCAGAGTAATAAATTAAAAATAAATCCATGAAAGTCAACGGAGCAAATCCTCGGCTGGCTTAAATTCAAGTAACAATCCCAAAGTCGATAGCGATCTATCAGTTTATGCAAACAGAGGATCTAGTTCACTGCCCAGCTAGCAAATTTAGGTTAAGAGTGGAGTCAGAGTTTTTAAGAGCACCATTACAGAGGGAGGTGGAACAGAAGATTAAATAAGATAAAAATTGCAAAAAGGAAGGAAATGTGGAGCAATTAATCTTATTCAGAATTACCTGGACATGGTTTGTTCATTTTATTTTGTAAATTAGCTCATTCCATTTTTCCTCTCTAGTCAATTTTTCATCTTTTCATCTCTTCCCACATCAGTTCTGTTTTCTTCTTTATACGGTCTTTAGCTCCAGTTTTTATGCTTCATCAATAATTGTCATCTGATGGCTATATTCTACCGAAATAAACCAGGAGGATACACGAGCCCGTGTGATAGAAATAGGCATTCAAGAGTAATTAATAGGAAGGGGATGGATACATTTTCAAGTCCAGCTAGCTGGTGGGCTAAATGGTACAATCACCATTCCACTCCAACAATGTTGAACATAAACCTGCTGAAAAGACAAATGGATCACAGTGAAGAGGATGAGAAGTGAATATTTTATGAGGCTAATATGTATAAACAGATCTGTGAAGGGCAAAAGGTGTCAGAACTCACACACAGAATTGTTTCAGAAACTTTAAGTAAGTGTTGCTTGTGAAATATGCCACATAATTTTGGGGACCTGCTGATAATTTCTGTTTGTACCTCAAAGGAGGGTGTATGTCGTGTTACAGCTTGAAGAAGGAGCCAAGAAATGCCACTCTTGATAGTCACCGATACATTAATGGTGCAGAGCAAAGCATTTTTCTCCAATTTGATAGAGGAAAGAAAAAAAGATGATGCATATTCATGTGAGAAAAGTGTCCTGTTGTATTAAGCAAGCTTTTTTTTCAGGATGAGAACAGACTAGTTGTGAGAACACTAGATACCTCTTGGAAAACAAGGATGAGTCACTGGATGAATAAGTGCCATTGGTATGGAAACAACTGGCATTGTCATTCTTGTAGTTGAAGTCTCAACACAAGATCTGGGTGATGGTGGCAGGTGGCTCTGCCCTGGCAGCAAATGGATTCTGCTGCTGTGGTTGCACTTTTTCTCCTCCATGAGGCTTCTCCGAATGTTTGTCTTCAGAAGCTGTCCACGTGTTATGCCAATGTAAATGTGACATTTTTTTTATGGAGGACAGATACCTCCTTTAAAGCTGAGGTTTCCAACCAAATATTTTGAGAGATGGTGCTTGTTTTTAGGCATGAGAAATGCGATGTCACCTACCATGCAAAGGAAAAACAAAAACAAAAACAAAACAAAACAAAACAAAAAACAAACAAAACAAAAAACAAAACAAAACAAAACAAAACAAAACAAAAAAGCAGATTGGGTGTTTCTTTGGCCTAACTCTTTTACCTCGGCATATTTGCACTTCATACCTAACAAAAAATAGCTCTTTGGAGTTTAGAGTCTGAACATATAGCTAAGAATGAAGAAGAAAAGGAAACAAAAAAAATCTATTCTTTGGAATAACTAGTAAAATGGTATATTTTAATCCCATTTACAGTACTGTTATTATTTCACTACATCACTTTTATTGCAAGACGTGACACTTCTGCTCTCGCTGAATACTTCACTAAGGTCATATGCTTTTTAGAGAAACATTGTCTCCCAGCGACTCTAAATTTTCTGAGGGGGATAAAAATTTTTTTTCTCTTTCTAGAGACTTGAAACTCTACCAGCTGTAGCCTGGTGAAGGGATTGTCAGGCCCAATGCTGATGGTGGTCAGTAGTGCTGTGCATGCTTATCAGAGGCAAAACTGGTCAGTACCATCTCCTTTGTGCAGTCCAAGCACTCAGAACTTCCCCCAAAATGCAAAGATGATAAGAAATTTTTGCTTTCGTTCAGCAATGGGTGGGGTTTGTCTTAAAATCTAGCTTGGTTTTGGCTAAACTTGCTGTGACCTTCAGAATCTTGAATGCTGTTGGCAGAGTGAAATCTTTCACAGGAGCAGAAGGTTTGTGGGGGGTGCTTTTTTCGTGTTATATTGTCTGTGGATGTAAGACTGTAAATCAGTAGAGAATTCAGATATTATTTTCTAGGGATGCCATACTGTAATTTAATAGAGATTTTAAACTCTCAGCAGGCAGTGGGTACCAGAAGCAGGAGCGATGACAGTACAGAGTGATACAGTAAAACAAGGTCACTTCTATTTTTCCTTTGGGAAGTGAAGTATTAGCATGGCTTTGGTGAATACAGTAAGTAGAATAATGCACCAATCCTTACAGGGGTCTGGGGTTATAATTTACAGCTCTTTAACCATGGAAATTTGTAACGCTGATGTGAGGCATGAGCTTTTTCCCCTGGGTGGCAGAACTACTCACTGGCTGACCTATCAAGGTGATAATCATTGCTCCCGATGCTGGTTTAATTTGTATACTCCTCCAAGCAAAGGCACTGGTAGTTTGGGAGCTTAGTGCAGTGTCTGCTACATTTTCAGTCTAAGCAAGATTCAAATGATCAACTGCATGTCTGTAAGGGCAGCATGATGCCCACTGCGAGGCAGAGGAAGGAATGTCAGGAGAAAAGTACTAACTTTGTTTTTTTCTCCTTGTTTAAGTGTATATTATTATGAGTGAGACTGTAAAGAAAGCCCTGCAGATGTCTTAAGGAGTTGTTAGGAAGCTTAAAATATTTATGCATTAATGGGAGGTAGTCCTTGTCCCCAGGATTTGCCTGAGTTGGTGTGGGGGAAAGGACAGTGTGGTCGAGATGGGTCTGTCTTGGTGCCTTCTCAAGGCAGAGGGATGTGACAGTGCAATCGCTCTGCATCCCCCCTCCCCAGGTTGAATTCTTTAGGAACCTGGTTATATAGCTGGAAAACTTGCACAGCTGGCAAAACAGAAAAGATATAACCAAACTCCTGAATTTTTAAGAATGGGGGAAAAGCGCCAATCTCTGACACAAATTTCAGTCTCACAGTGTGAAAAGCACATAGTGGGAATGGAGTGTTTTGGGCCACAACCAGGAAAGTGCTTTCTGGAAAGTGTCACACACTCCTGAGGGGATACAGCTGACTATGTTAAAAAGGCTCTCATGGTTCTCAGCCATGGTGGTTCTGGTTTCTCATGCTGGCTTCTGCGTGACAATCTCAGTTGTTGGAAGACAGCCTCTTCTTTTTAAATCTTTGCTTCTAGCAAATATTTGCTGTAGCTCAAAACTTTACAATTAAGTGTATTTTAAAGCTGATAGATGGTGATAAATGCTTCTTACCTTGTAAGATCTATAATTGTGGTGCAGATGTGAGGGTGCTTCATCTGAATGCTTTCTCCTAAAGCCCTGGTTTGTGGCTGTGCAGAGACACACAGCTAGCCAGAAAGAGGGAGAGCAGCAGCTTTCTCCTACATTGCATGCGCTTGCTGCATGCAGGAGTGGTAACTTTAAGTTGCCATCGACTATCTTGTTGTTTATAGTCTGAGAAAGGCTTGCATTTATTACAAAGTATTGATAAACCACAAGGTTTGATAAACCCCAAGAATGGGGTAGTTTATCAAGTGAATTTTGCAGGCAGCTGGCTTTCTAAAGCCCATTAGATGAGTGCTGAGGAACATTACCTTTTTTCTTTGTTATTGGAAGAAGGGAGTTTCAGTAATTTCACTGTTTGGACTAGGAGCACTAAGCCCAGATGATGAAATGATAGAGCTGTAGCACAGACCTGGATCGATAGCGGAGCAACAACAGGAGCAGAATCGGGTTATTCACTCGTAGCGTAACAACACTGAAGCTGTCAGGGTGGCACCAGCCTGGACACAGTTTATCTTTTTGGCACCAATTGTTGCTTTTTACCAATACATGATAAAATTATTTTGTTCCTTCCACGAGCAACAGCAACCTTGCAAACTGTTTGCATGTTGTTAAGCAGCGGCCATCGGTGATGCTGCCATGATGCCCAGAAAGAGTTGCAGCATTCCAAGGGTTGTCTGCTGTCCCCATGTGGATGCCACAGAAACACGTGGGTGGCTGTGGCACTTGGGAACTGCTGCTGTTTTGCTCAGTCTAAGCAGCCAGCATGGGGTGAGCAGGCGTGGGGAGCCTGTGGTGGAATTTGCAAGGGGATACAAGCTCCCAGTCATGGTGCATAGAGAGCTACTTGGAAATCCTAAGTAGTTCTAGTCTGAGGAGGCTTGTGTCCTCTCAACCTGGCGTGGAGCAGCAGCTTCCACCCAGAGCTGGGGGAGCCACATAGAGCTCCTCAAGCTGAAAATCCACCACATCTCCAATGTGCAGACCCTTGGAGTTACTGTGCTTTGGTCAAGCCTGTAGGTTTTAACCCCTGCTTGGCTTTCAGGAGGTCCCACTGAAACTCCAGCTCTGGACAGGCTGACCTGGCTTGGAATGGGTAAGTTGCTTGCACTGTATTCAGAAGTCTGTCTGGGGAAGCAGTGCTGTCTGTATAGTGGCTCTTCTGCAGCTCATGAAAGACCAAGCATAAGATCCTGTGTCAGACTGTTAAAAATCTTTCTCTTCAACCTCAAAGCTTTGCTGAAATGCTTAAATGATAGAAAACATCATCACCTTTTTAAGGCAACGAAGGTAAAATCTTGGAAACATTCCAGGTGAGGTTGGACAGGGCTCTGTGCAACCTGCTCGAGGTGCCGATGTCCCTGCAAGGGGATTTGACTAGATGGCCTTTAAAGGTTCCTTCCCATCCAAACCAGTTTGTGATTATATAAAAATTAGCCTTTTTAGACTTTGTTCTCTGCTCCCAGAAAACTGTGGACATGGTACCTGGCAAAGTACAGGTACAGGGCTTATCTCACTGCAATAGTTCCCAGAAACTTTGCAAGTGCCTTTTCCCAGGGGAGCTGTTCCTGGCAGCCCTGCAAGTGCAGCAGAAGTCAAGTCAGAGGGGCTTGGAGAGATGTTTGGGAAGATGGGGACAGGATGCTT